ATCACTAAAAAGAACAGAGCAGAAAAGAACAGGAAGGCCAGCTCAACAACACGGAAGCTAAGATGGGGAGCATCAAGGCAAGACAGCAAATATCTACTTCTATCATGGCAGGAGGCTCACACAGGTGTGGACCGAGAAAATATATCAGGCTTCAAATCTGGGTTTGGAGAAATGCATCCTTGCCAGACTTTCTAAGATAACAACTCTATCTCATTTCACTTTGCCTCTTGGTTGCCTCTTGGTACAGTTCCTTAAAAGACAGCTAGCACTTTGTAAAAAAAAAAAAAAAATCTTTAATTAAGTTCTTCATCAAGGCTATAATATTTTACATTTGAACATTTTAATTCAATTTATCGAATACTTAAGATCTAACAATAAGCCAAAAATGATATGAGGCCCAGAGACAGGATTAAAGAGCACGAGGTCTCCGGACACACAGATCAATGGAACAGAAGGAGGCAAGAATATACAATGAGGTAAAGACAGTCTATTCAATAAACTGTATGAGGAAAACTGGACAGACTCATGCAAAATAATGAAACTAGACCACCTTCTTACACGATATACAAGAATAAATGCAAATGGTATCGAAGACTTAAATGTAAGGCCCGTGACCATAAAACTCCTAAAAGAAAACATAGGCAGTAAACTTTCTGACATTGCTCTTAGTAATATTTTTTCTGATATGTCACCTCAGGCCAGGGAAATGAAAGAATAAATAAATGGGACTACATCAAACTAAAAATGCTTTACATAGCAAAAGAAACCATCAAAAAAACGAAAAGACAACCTACTAAGTAGAACAATTGCCAATGATACATCCAGTAAGGGGTTACTAATCAAAATATATAAGGAACTCATAACACTTAACACCACAAAAATGATTAAAAAATTAGCAAAGAACCTGAATAGATGTTTCTCCAAAGAGGACATACAGATGGCCAACAGACATACGAAAAGACACTCAATGTCACTAATCATCAGGGAATGCAAATTAAAACCACAATGAGGTATCATCTCACACCTGTCAGAATGGCCATCATCAATAAATCAAAAAACAAGTGTTGGTGAGGAGGCAGAGAAATGGGAACCCCCGTGCACTGTTGATAGGATTGCAAATTATTACAGCCACTATGAAAAACAGTACAAACATTCCTCAAAAAATTAAAAGTAGAACTATCTTTTTACCCAGCAATCTCACTTCTGAGTATTTAGCCAAAGAAATCCAAAACACTAATTCAAAAAGATATATGCACCCCTATGTTTGTTGCAGCATTATTTACAATAGCCAAGATACGAAAACAACCTAAGTGCCCATCAATAGACAACTGGATAAAGAAATTGTGGTACATACATACAATGGAATATTACTCCGCCATAAAAAAGTATGATATCCTACCATTTGCAACGACATGGATGGACTTGAAAGGTATTATGCTAAGTGAAATAAGGCAGACAGAAAAAGACATATACCATATGATCTCACTTATACGTGGAATCTAAAGGACAATATAAACAAACAAAACAGAAATAGACTCATAGATGCAGGGAACTAGCTGACGGTTACCAGATGGGAGAAGGGGTAGGAGGCAGGATGTAGCTGAGGTTACCAGATGGGAGAAGGGGTAGGAGGCAGGATGAAAATAGTGAAAGGTTTAAGAGGTACAAATTGGTAGTTACAAAATGGTCACAGAGTGGTAAAGCAAAGCATAGGGAATATAGTCAATAATACAGTAATAACTATGTATAGTGTGAGGTGTGTACTAGACTAGTCAGGGGGATCACTTTGTAAATTATATAAGTGTCTAACCACTATGCTGTACACCTCAAACTAATATAATATTGAATGTCAAATGAAGCTGAAAAGTTTTCAAAAAGGGGAGTAGGCGAAGGAGATTAAGAGGTTCAAATTTCCAGATATAAAACAAATAAGTCATGGAGATGGGGTGTACAACAGGGAATATAGTTAATAATATTGTGATAGTGTTATATGGTGTCAGATGGTTGTTGGGCTTATCGTGGTGATTACTTCTTTAAGTATATAAATGTTAAATAACTATGAAACTAACATAATATTGTATGCTAGCTATATTTTAATAAAAATCTTTTTAAAATTTCAATGATAAAATTTTAGATTAAAAAAGTTCTAAATATCAAAATTAAAGAGCACACAATCTCTGAGCTCACAGGGCTCACTGCTGCTTACATGATAAGAGGGATGACGAGCACACAGAGAAGCAGCAAGTAACTATGTGAGGGGTTGATAAGGAATGTTAAAGAAAGCCACAAAGAAGTGGACGTGACAGGAACTCGCAGTGAGGAGGCATGGAGAAGAGGGGAAGATGGGGAGAGAACAGAGGAAGGCTGAGGGCAGCTAGTACGGTAAATCTGGGTGGTATTCTGTAGCTACAAGACATTTAGGGTAAAGAGATGATCAGATAATCAAAATAACACCAGTTTCAACAGCAACAATAGATGCTTGAAGACAATGAAGCAAAGCCTCCCAAGAGCTAAGAGAAAATTATACTGAACCCAGAATTCTATTCCAAGCCAAACTAGCAATTAAAGGCAGAAATAATAATACTGCCATACATTCTAAGAGACTCTGAAAGTTAACCTACCACTAGTGCACCCTTCCTGAAAATGTACTCCAGCAAAATGAGGGTTAAAAAAACAAAAAAGTAAGATGTGAGACTCAGGAAATGGAATAACCTGACTCTTCAATAAAAACAAAAGCAGTACAGAAGTTGTGCAGAAGACCCAGAAAGCATTCAGTCCAAATTAGATCAGGCGATTGATGAGCTCTAAGTAGGATGTCTTCAGAAGAATGAAAGCAGATCCCAAGCAACAGAAAGAAAAAGAAAATGGCATCAGGGAAAAGAACACATAACTATTCACTCGACAAGAAAAATGCAATCATATTGGGAAAAATGTGAAAAAGTGAGGGACGCTGCATAGAAAATAGTCTAAAGATGAAGCCAGCTAAAACGTGGTGTGACTCTGTAGAAGAGCCCACTAGATGAGACACAAGGAAGGGATGCTCTCCTTTGTGTGGTGACGCCATAACTGTGGCGTGAAGAGGTGCACTAACCACGAGGCACTTGGCTCAGTGACAAAGTCATACTGACATACGTCATGACAATCAAAGTTTCATGTTGTTGATGGTATTCGACTTTCAGAATTAATCTCTAGATAAAGTAGGAAGGCTTGAATTACAGTCACAGAATTCATGTCATCTGCCTTGGTAATGTAGAAGTACAAGGTGTAACAGAGAAGGAAGAGTTGACAAAAGGTGGGAGGTGAGATCAAGAGACAATGGGCAGGAGTGTGATATTCTCACCTTTCAGAGTGCGGAGCCAGAAGGTACTGTCAAGAGTCGATCAAATAATAAACAGAAGTTCAAATATATAGTTTTAAAGGTGTGACAATCACAAAGAGAAGAATTAAAAAGAGATACTATTGTCAAAAATGGGGATGGCAGGGAGGGGAATGAGTGAGCTAAATCTTCATCTACTACAGCAAGTCATTACTGGGAACGTCTGAGGTCGAAAGTCAAGAAATAACAGCATAAAGGTAGTATTAGAAATACAGGAGTATCTAATGAATGGTCTGAGAATAGAAATGGTTAAACACGACTTTTGAGGAATAGGGCTGAGGTAGGGAAAAGCAAGACTAAAGAGCTTCCATTACAAGACTACTGACAGTTAGGAATTTTAAAGCATGTGCAGCTACAATTTTTATTAAATAATTTAATAAAATTTTAAAATAAAAACATCAAGGTCAAGGTTGACTACTATAACATTAACTGTATATATTAGTATCTGTCTGCCATTAATGCGTATCCACTGCTAAGCTTCTACAGTATTTTATTATAATGTCACATCTAGACCAGCAGAGGTGAATTTTATATTTCAATTGTCATTTACATTTATATATACTTCACCTAATCTAAAATATATATTTTTTTCCACATTTTTATGTCATTGAACTCAGGATGGATTCACTTAATTAAGAGGAGTTTTTTTTAGTGGTATATAAATTATGATGTCGCCTTATTATCAATGGTGTCTTAGATCTGATGAAATAGGATACTTGTAGAAAATAACATACTTAGTTATTTTTCCCCTAACTCACTTTGTGAAATGAGAGACTGTGACATCTCCTTCTACTACTCTGCCCGCCTCACACATTACACTCCAGCCACAGTTGGTCTTTAGGATCTTTTCCTGAACACCTTAGGGAGGGCCTTGGACCAGCTGTTCCCTGGCCCAGATGCCCTGCCCCGTCCCCAACTGGCTCCTCCAGGCCATGAAGTCCCAGCTTAAATGTCACTCGCTTGAAAGAGCTTGCTGACTACCCACTGAAAGTGGCCCTCCTGCCCAAAAACGTCTCCTATCATGTCACCCAGTTTTATTTTCAGCAAAGGACTTCCCCCGATATTTTCATTTATTGGTTTTTCTTCATGAAAGCATTAGCTCCAAGAGAATAAAGATCTTGCCTACCTTATTCGACACCGTACCCCAGCACCTAGAATGGAGCCTGACACCAAGTAGGTGCTCACCTATTTCTAGGACGAGGACTTCAGAAAAATAACGCTAGGCTATGGACACAACAGCTCATCACTTAACAAATAATTATGTTTCAAATTTATAAATAACATTGCTTCCTTATTCCTCTATGGAAAAGAATCTCATGTATAAATTTTTCTATTAGGAAAATCCATTTCTGATTGCTGTTCAGTTAAATATGACTTTAGGCATATACTAATAATATATACCGAGAATAATTTCCACAGCATGAAACAATTCATACCATCTTTAATTTATTTGTACATATTCCAAACCTACCTACTCTTGACCAGAACTGACATCAAACAGGTGGCAAACTAGGATAAAAAGAACTCAGTCGTTTCAAAAATTCAAGAGTGTGCTTACCTTCAACTTTTTCAATTTTAAGAAGGGTTGTCATCTCCATCTCCCAAAGGAAAGATGAAGTTCAAATTACTGTTTATACTTATAATTTTATTTCCCACCACCCAATTCAAAGAATTGAAATAGTTTGTCTATTGCCAAACATCAAACAAGAACAATAATGAATAACTTACTGTTAATTTCTTTAATACTTGCATTTTACATACATGACAGAAGGATAAAATAAAAAGGCTGAAATCCTGAAAAAGTATATTTGTTTGCTTTTTTTTATTCAAAAGCCCATGATTCTTTGGGAGGTGACACAAGGTTGTTTTCCAGTCAGATCATAATTTCTACAATTTCTATAGTGACCATAAATCCGAAAGGCTCCTGCTCTCTCCATCCCAATTCACTTTTGGCACCAATATGTAAAATGTCACTTCTGAAAAATGGGGAAAAAATGTGAATACTGGGTTTTATCACAGTACTCTTTTCCTGATGGATAATTTTCTAATTGCTGAATTTAGAATACTGATTGATTCAAGAAAGATTAACAATATCTCATCAATAAAAACCTTTTCCTACCTAACTATATGGCTGTCTTAGAAAAAAAAAAATATATCAGAAATAGTAGCCAGTTCTCAGAGATAAAGGGACGATGGCTTGTCCTTCCCCAGTTCTTCTAATTTTAAATTTAGAGTTACTCAGCAATTCTATGAGAGGTAGCAGGACGTGTGGCATAGGGGCTGGCTTCATGATTTTAGAATGCAATTTTAAATCATCATATCCTCCAGGAGAACTCATGTTACACTCAAAGAAAGAAAAGAAGCGGCTACTCTCCATCTCCGCGCAGACAGAAGCTGATCAGGAGCACAGAATGTGCTGCTTCCTGGTTAAGGAAAGACGGGCCTAACCACAGGACTGGCAATTAGGAGAAGATTGAGCCAAAGAATTAAAAAATCTGATTAGAAAAATGTGTCATTTATAAAGTATACTACTCTTGAATCTTCACTTAGTCTATTACGAAGAAGCTCCCACGCAAAAATCAGGTTGCTACAGAAGGAAAATAACCAACACACAGACTATCATTGGCCAATATTTAAATACAAAGAATGCAACTTTCATTTTTCATATGTGAGAAGGATTTATACACTTGGTGTTGACCTGTTTGGCCCAATTCAAAATTTTTTTTCAGCTATGCTTCAGATCCACTGGATATTGCCAAGAAACGTATCCCCAAAAATCTTCTGAATTTGTCAGTGTCATTAGAGTTTAATAGATTTTTCTGAGTGCTACCATTAAGCTCAGAAGGGTTGGGGGAACCTTACCCCACCCCTTCTCCCAAAACCTAATAAAGTAAGACATGTGTATTTCAAAACAAAAGATGCTAATGTTATGAAACTGGAGTGGGGGGAGATGCTATAACAGTCCTCTTTCATTTTAATGAACACTGGACTACCTCCTACCTCTAGCACTATATACGCTTTTAAACTTCTAGAAGGGAGAAAGGGAAGAATGAAGGAGACGTGAACTCCGAAACCTCCTGACAAAGTCGCCGGCCCACTGCGAGGTCAAGGGAATACTTCTTCTGCCAGCCACTAATTCACAAATATTTTTCCCCATTTAAAGAAGTCTGCATGAATGAGGTTAGGAGAGCAGGGAACACACCAAGAAGTAGACCAGAGTCTTCTCGTAGTGACCCCGCCCCATGTCTTTAGCTGCGATCGACTTCATTCATCTTGACAGTCACAGTAAGCAACACCTCTCTTTAAAACTTTTCTTGTTCTTGCTGCTTTTCTTGCCATTTTTGTCCTTGTTTTCTGACATCTTCTTTGCTCTGATTTCTCTCATTAGATCAAAGAATACCTGGGGCGAGGAGGAAGGGAGGAAAAGAAGGGGGAGGAAAAAGCCATTTAATGATTTAATGAAGCAGTCAGACTAAGCATAAAGACAAACTTATTCTTACGAACCACATGCCATCAAAAACAAAAGGTCTAGAATAAATAAGAATTAACATTAAAAACATATTCTAATTCTACCAAATAAACATCTCTGCTCAGATCATACAACTAGTCAACCTAAGGACCAGTCAGTTACTACTAGTCATACCGTTACTACCATTCAACAGCTTACTTCAAATAAAATCTCTTCTACTGGTAAGTGTGACGAAGGATAAAGCAGCACAAAACAGAGCTGCAAGGTTGCGATATTTACAAATATTGAGAATAACAAATAGTAATCAGACTTTCTAGCATTTCCAGCCACCAGAAAAGGAAAAAATGATATCAGTACCTGTACCTTATTTAATCCTTATAATGACCCTATCAAGGTAGGAACATCGTTATGCATGACAGCGTTCCTAGCATAATTCCACAAGAGCAGACTTAGGAACACAGTTGGAGGGGAGAGAAAGAGGGGAGGATGAACCATAACAAATGAGGCTCCTGCACTATGAAACTGGTGCCATGCGGGGAGAGACAAGTACTGGCACGCTTCCCCTACCCATGTATATTCCTACCCTAGTTCTCAGGAACGCCCCCTCCTCCATTCTTTGCGATATCAGCTAGAGGGAACTTTATCAAGAACTGACGAGACTTGTCCTTTGAATGCCAGTGTTACTGAGATAGGGATTATCATTTGTCACAATAATTTGGGTTTTGCCCTCTGCTACCAGCAATCGTGCCAAAGTACTGACTATACCCGAGCAGACAAAATATGCTTCCTACAAAGAAACATTTGAGATTTCTCCTAGAGAATGACGAAGATTTGAGTGTAGGCTTTTATCTTTGGACTTTCACACAAAACCACAAGCTCCTTTTATTTTCATAGACATACCTTCTTAGTAGAAAGCAAAATCGAGCTTTCTGAGTGTGGGACTTCACAAGTACTTACCACCAGCTCAGAGCACAGAAAAGGACGCCCGGCAACCTGGATCAGGCTAACCTACGCACCTCTTTTCTCCAGCCTCTCAGAAAAGCACCCCACCCATGACAACAACAGTGAAAAGATTCAAATGTTACAGGTTTTTCTTTTTGTTCTAACAGCAAAAGGCAGGAGGAGGGGCACGCAATGCATCCAACTTAAAATGATGACAGAGTTGTTCACAGGCCGATCTTATCAACAACCTCCTTTCAAGTAAATTGTTTACAAGTGAATACAATGCTGCCAGTCATAAGTTTCTGCTGGTTCCTGTTTGGCAGGTCAAGCTGGTCCAGTGGAGGAAGGGAAGACGACAAGCTGCTGTGCAACAGCCCCCCTCCCCACCACCCACCCTTCCCACCAAAAAAACACACGTCGACAGTTCCATGGTGAGAAAGCCTTCGTGATTCTTTTTAAATGAAGTATATGTCTGGAATTCCTGTGTGTTTTCTATAGCTAGGAAACGATTTGATAGAGATTTGGAATGGCATAATAATCAACATTAAGAGTTGAGATAACAGTAAAAAGAAAAAGTGTCTGACAGGTGAACATACTTCACATTGCAGACTACAACCAAACAAACTTATGCTATAGGTGCTGCCAACGTGCTTCTAGAGGTAACTCCATCAACATAACATTCTATATACCAATGTACCTCTCTACCTTTCAAGCTAAAGTAAAACTTGGCTACAAATCTCTCCTTCTTCAGGTAAGCAGTAAAGGAGAATTTTTTCTCCATAAGAAAAAGAAACATAGGAAGCGATTTGGGGGATTCAGATACTGATGCTACAGAGCAGACAAATCACTGCTTAGCTGCCAAAGTGAAACGTGTTTAGATTTTACAAGAGCATGAATCATAAGTAAGCGCTGATGAACAAGGGGAAGGCACAGGGAGAGCCTCATCTTTTAAGTTGTCTATTTTAGTTGTGTGATAACCACTTTGAACCTAATTTAAAAAAAAAAAAAAAGGCCTAACAATTGCAATCACTGGCAGACAGATTTTCAAATTGTCAGTGTTCATCATCATCAAGGTCATCCTTTCATTAGCTTCAGAGATTTGAATGAGAAAGTACACTGGGGTTTGGTAAGGGAGAGAAAAGAAATCCCTACAGAGTTGATTCCTGAGGGCAAATACAATTGACAGATTCCGTTATAAAGACAGAACACCTTGGCTCTGCCTGTGGATGGTAAGGTGAAAAGAATAAATCAACTAATAACTCAGTGAGAGAAAAATCAAGACACATGTTGTTTCTTTGGGGACCTCCCAAGAAGCAGCCGGCACAACGAGCCCCTCGCCTGCAGAACAAAAGGCTATGGAGAGAGCATAGGGATGCTACAGTATGTCCTCGCTTGACACCGTGGATATGTTCTGCGACTCAGTACACCAAAGAAACAAATGTTACCATAGGCTAATTGAAATAAACAAGAGTTAAGTTCCCATGTCATCCTAGCAATGTTATAACAGGAGACACTGAACAAAATGACTTATCTGAGGACCCGCTGTACTTAGTGTCCACCCTTCCAGCACAGGCTTCGCAACCCAATAGCCTCATCTCATCCTACATCCACGGGCTGTGCCAGCACCAATAAGCATGCTCCAAAAAGGTCGTGACAGAGTGAAAAACTCTGGGTTATTTACAGTCAGGGTCAAATCCTCCCAGAACCTCTCATCATAATGACGTGGACATCTGGAAAAATTAGTCCTCCTCTAGTTTCCATAAATGATTCCCTTAAAAACAAACAGATGTGATGCTTAGGTCCTGCCGTTTCTCAAGTGTGTTTCCAAGAAACACAAAGAGCACGCCCACCTTGTCCACGTTGGCCCGAGTCTTGGCCGATGTCTCCACATACTGCACGCCCCACTCCTCCGCTTTACTCCGGGCCTCCTCCACCGGCACCTGCCTCCGCTCCTCCAGGTCCGATTTGTTTCCCACCACCAGCAATGGAATCTTATCTTCTTCAGCTTTAACACGGAGGATCTGTTCCCTAAGGTGTTACATCAAAAATAAAGCCATTTTTAAAAAAAGGCTTTCCAAAGGCAGAAGAAGAAATTGCTACACTTCGGGCTTATCCCAAGGATGCAGTCCCTAGATCCTGTCACAAACTAGATAAGGTTTTCAAAGTCTGGTTCTCCAAATGACCGATGTGCTCATTACAAATGCAGATTTCTGGGCCCCACAGTAGTGCTACAGAAATAAATGCCTGGGAGGGCGTCCAGGATTCTGCATTTCAACAGGGTCCCTAATTTTTGCTTAGGCAAAAAAAGAAAAGAAAAAGAAAAAAACTTGGGGACCTCTAGGATCAAAACAAGCTGAAGTATCTTCATACATAAAATGCTAAATAACGCCCCTGAAAAAAATGGTATGATCTCTTTGTGAGAATAAAAGCTGTGAAACCTAGTGTTTTTTCATATGGAGGTTAGCAGTCTATTAGTAGATCATGAAATCAATTTAGCAGGTCGCAACCAGTAATTTTTTTCCCTCACTGAAATAGAATAGAAAAGAAACATCAGAGGGAACCTCTAGGAGGAAAGGTAAGTAGGGTTTTGTGAAACTTCTGTTTCGATTATATTTACATATGTATAGGCTCCTGCCTCCTCCTACCCCAGTTTCCATTTAGACACAGTAACTGTTATAAGCCACAGAATGCGGACAGTTATGTCAGGCAGTAATTGCATTTCATGTACATTATTTTTCTACTACAAAGTGAAAATGAAATATTGCAAGACCTATGGAAAAATACTTCAAAAGCATCTTCTCTAAAAGAAGTTACCCACAGCATGTTAAATTTTACCTCTAGTAAAAATGATCAGCTATATAAGTTATTAATCAAAACCAAATATTAAAAATAATCAAATACTCTACTTGCACTATTTTGATCAGGTAGGGATATTTCTACTTCTACATTCCAATACATTAAAAAAGAGACCCCTCCCATCCCTTCAAAAATGTATTTTGTGGAGATTTGCACTGATTTTTATATGACATAGGATAACTTTTCGTAACAATAAAAATCTTTAAAAATTTTTTCCATACAGTCAATTAAAGTACCGGAAATCAAATATTTTAAGAAAAATGAAAAAGACACAAGTAGATGCTTGAAAATTGCCTCTAAGCAGCTTTGCTGTCCCCTACATTTCAACAGGGGTCAAAGAGCATGCTCCCTTTAGAAGTTATGTGATTCATCAATATAAACTATAGACAATAACTGATAGCTTTCTGGCTCATTAGCCTTGCAGAGGCACGTAAAATAATCTCATTCATAAATATACTGATCCAAAAATGAGAGTACCAAGTTCTGTCTCTTGTAATAAAACAATTTCTCTAGTTTGTAGACTATATCCAGGAAAAGTATCAAGATAGAGTGTATATTGGACGTGGTTTCATAGTGTAGAGGATAGCATGTCTGCTTTACACACAGAAGGTTCTGGGTTCGTGCCCCAGTGGAGCCACGGTCCATGGTCTATAGCCATGCCACCCTAAATAAAAGCCCGAAGTCTGATCTTGGAAACTAAGCAGGGTCGGGCCTGGTTAGTACTTGGATGGGAGACCACCTAGGAAGACTAGGTGCTGTAGGCATAAATAATAATAATAAATAATTTAAAAAAAGAAAACTAAAAAAAAAAGTGTATTAACATTTTGCTTAATGTCAGGATCTTTACATTTGGAAGATAAACACAGAAATGCTGTTTTAAAAATGCTACCAGACGTAAAGTGACTGAGCTTAACCACAAAAACTCAGAAAATCCACCTCCATTCTTCTGATTCCAATGACATGCGAAACCTGGGCAGCTCTGAGATTTTTATTTAAATGTCGGAGTTCAAGTTAGAAAAACACACTTCCCTTCCTTTTTCTTTTAGGTAGTCGTCTATCCTTTTTCTTCAAAGGATCTCTCTTCTCTCATAACAACCAAAACCCTTCTCCCAAGATGAGATGAGACCCTGCTCCAACTCTGTGGGAATGCATGAACATGATCTGTGTGCGTGTGTGGTGATCCGGGAAGACAGGCCAAGGGTGGTACCACCAATTCTCAGAAGATGACTCTTCTACTGCCCAGCATTTCCTTTCTCGGTGAGTCAAAAGGCAGCAGAAAATCAAAAGGCGCAGGACAAGGAAGAAAATTAGTAGTGTGTGCATCTGTCCTGTTTTATTTCAAGGAGGCATAAAAACAGAATTATGCAGCTGCAAACGATTATGAATCCATAGGCTATATCCACATATAGAAACCTCTAGGTATGTCGGAGAAGTCTAAAATTATGAGGACTTCTCATAAGGAGCCCTAGTGATTTGACTGATCGCCATGGCACATGGCACACACCCTATAGTTCCAGAGAACTGAGTTACTCAACCTTCGAAGTCTTGCAACTATAAAAGCCTAACAACTGAGGCACGGTCTATTACTTTCCACTCGCTCTACTGGTTTACCATGAGGCCTGCCTCCCTGGCCCACTGATGCTTCCTTCCAAATCTTAGGAGGATATTTAGCTTCCTCATTTTCTTCTTCAATTGACCACCTTAATTTCTGACAAACTTGCTAAAGAATGAAAAAAATTACTGTGTTTTTTCTCCCCTTTTTAAGTTCCTGTTAGACTCTAGATCTGGTTCTTAAAATAAAAAGTCATCTGGACAGATCTGTTCCTGTTAGAATTCCCATAAGAATTACACCTAACAGCTCACTATTTCCTTATAACAAAATAAACTTAAGGTATCTTTACCCCATTTTCAAATGAATTATAGCAGTGAATATTGCACTCAGTATGGAAGGACCATGTGACCAGGCTGTGAGAAGGTCTGGGGATACAACACAATGAAGGGTGGCCACAGCTCCTGCCCTTATGGAATTTACAGTCTAGAGCACCATTTCATTTCATCAACTAACGAGTACATCTTCAGATAAAAAAAAAACAACAACAACAGAATCTCTACTACTCGGTAAACTTGCCCAGGGTCACAAAACTGTTAAGTGGCAGGGCAGGGATTCAAACCCAGGTCTGTATGATTTCAAAGTTGGGTTCTTTCCATCTTATGGTAGCAGCAAACGGTCACTCTGACTCACATTTTTCACTCTGCTGACGATATAGATCAAAACAAATCAAACTTGTTACTTTTCAAGCAAAATTATAAAAAAGGTAGATAGTTGACTCTTATCAATCACTGTCTCTCAGGATTTATATCGTTTATGTCGTTTTAAAACAAAACAACAGGTTCTGACTATGTGGAATGGCTTTGTTCCCTTTAGGAACAATAGAATCTTAAGATAATTTATATTCGGAAATGTGCCAAGATTCAAAAAGCCCCAGAAAATTCTTTGAACAGATTCTTCCTAATTCCAAGCTCAACCATCTATGACTGTGCTCAGCCCCAAAATTCATTCTAAGCCTAAGACATATGAAAGGAAGGCAAAAGCTTCCTGGAGGCTGGAGGCTATTCAAACACACCTGAATTCGGCAGTTGCAGTAAATGATTCATGTTCTGTGATCGAGAACACGAGGAGAAAACCTTCCCCACTACGAAAGTAGTTGTCGCGAATGGCTGCGTAGTCCTCTTGCCCAGCAGTGTCCAGAATATCTATCTGGACTTCTTCCCCATCGAGAACTACTTTCTTTCTGTAGCTGTCAGCTTTGGTAGGTTCATAGTCTTCCACAAACTGCGGAAATAAACAACATTAGCAGTAATTAACAAAGTTTTAAGGGAAATAATATCTGCCAAAAAATAATTATTGGTATACAAGTACGTTGCCTACTTTGCCAAATGAGTATTACTGAGTGCCTTTAATTATCATGCTATATGTAAGGCACTATAAAATAAAAATAACTCCTTATATAACACTTCTTTATTGCTCTCAGTTCTACCATTTTTTATTTTCTTTTTAAACAAGAGCAGACATTCCCATTTTACAGATGAGAAAACCAAGCATAGAGCAGAACACTAAGCAATACTGTTGTTAGCAAAAAATTACAAAGCAAACACTGGCAAGGGTGAGAAACAGGAGTTCTTATTTATAATCAACAGAATTCTAAAATTCATCTAAAAAGCAATTTCGTAAGAGGTACCAAGAGGTTTAAATAACTATACAACATGATAAACTCCAAATGCATCAAAGATTAAAAGTGAAAAGTAAAACCCTCAAATACTAGAAGAAAATATGGGTGAAATCCCTTTATTACCTTGAAGTGGGGAAGGCCTTTTTAACTATGACTCAAAATCCAGAAGCCATGTAAGAAAAAATTGATAAATTAGACTACATAAAAAATTTTTTTAAAACACACTACAGTGTGTTTGGCACAACACACTACAAACAAAGACAATTGACGAACAAGAAAAAGTATCTGAAGCCATATCACAAAGAGCTATACAGTCTCTAGAAACAGGAAGGGAAAAAAGATCAACAATCCAATGGGGAAACGTGACAATGGACATAAACAATTCACAGAAAAATAAATACATATGATGTTAAATATATGAAAGATGTTCATCCTCACTAATAAAGAAAACACAAATTGTAACTACATTGAGATACTGTTGTTCACCTACCAGAATGGCAAAAATCCCAAGTGTGACAACATACTCTGGGGAAAAGGCACTCTTGTACGCTGCTAGTGGTAGTAGAGCACAGTACAGTCTTTATGGAGATAAATATGGCAACATCTAACAGAACTAGAGAAGCACTTATCCTCTGTCCCAGCCACCCCGCTTCTAGAATCTAATCTACAGAAACACCTGCACAAGAACATACAAGGTTATTCACTGTGGCACTGTGTGTAACAGCAAAAGATTAAAACCACCCAAATGCTCAGTGACAGGAATCCACATAATGGAATACTATGAGACTAGAAAAAATGAGGAAGAAAACTATGTGCTGGTATGTAAAGACATCCAGAATATAACGGTCTATCTTTTACACAAAGAAAGTAGGGAGAATAAAATATATAAAAAATATATATATATTATTGTGTATATAGATATATATCTTAATGTGTATGTATATATGTGCCAAAAAGATACCTTGAAAGAACAAACAAAACAAAACAAATTTAAAAGCCATTAAACAGAAAAACTGAAGCAAAACGAACCCAAATGAATATTAAATGGGGAATGCAGCAACACAGAGAATTAATTCAAGAGTCTTTGGAATAGAATGTTTTGATAGAATGCATCCCACTAAAAGAGGCTAAAGACAAAAAAAAAAAAAATCAAAGAAATAGTAAACTTACCTCAGTGTTTATATTATTTAGTACCAATGATAATATTTCATAACTATTTCTTTATATTGTATTATACATCAAATAAATAATTATCTTGATGCTGAAAGTCAAGATATTCAGAAAAAAAGTAAATTAATGACAGCAATGTACTATTAAAATTGAATTGGTGCTGGTATAAGTGGATATCCACGTTTGGGCCCCTACTTCACATCACATACAAAAATTAACTCAAAATAGAACAAAGGCCTAATGTAAGAGCTAAACCTATAAATTCTGAAGAAAAACACAGGTTTAAATCTTTATGACCTTGGATTTAGCAATGCACCCTTAGATATGACACCAAAACATAAGCAACAATAACAAAAAAAAAATAGATAAATTGGACTTCATCAAAATTTAAAACTTCCATGCTTCAAAGGACACCATCAAGAAAGTAAAAAGATAACCCAAAGAATGGAAGAAAATATTTGTAAATCATATATCTAAAAAGGGACTTGTAACCCAAATATATAAAGAACTCTTAAAACTCAACAATGACAAGACAAATAACCCAATCAAAAACTAAACAAAAGATCTGAATAGACATTTCTCCAAAGAAGATATACGAATGGCTGATAAGCACATGGAAAGATGCTCAACATCATACATTGCTAGTGGGATTGTAAAATGATGCAGCCTCTATGGAAAATAGAGGTTTTGTAGTTCCTAAAAGTTATACATAGAATTACAATACGACCCAGCAAATTTCATGCCTAGATATACGCCAAAGAGAATTTAAGACATACGTGCACATTCAAAACTTGTACACAAATGTTCGTAACATTATTATAATAGCCAAAAAGCAGAAACAATACAAATGTCCATCAATTGATGAATGGAAAAACAAAACATGGTATATCCAGAGAATGGACTATTATTCAGTCACAAAAAGGAACAAAGTATTGATTCCTATTACAATATAGATGAACCTTGACAAATTATGGTAAGAAGAAGCCAGACTCAAAAGGTCATACATTACATGAGTCTATTGATATGAAATGTCCAGAACAGACAAATCTATGGAACTGTCCGGTAGATTAGTAGTTGCCAGGACTGTGGCAGGGGCGGGGGGATGGTGAGTGACTGCTAATGGGTATGGAGTTTCTTTCTGGGTAATGAAAATGTTCAGGAATTAGATAGTGGTGATCATTGTACAACTCTGTGACTATACTAAAAACACTGAGTTGTATACTTTAAAAGGGTAAAATTTATAGTATATAAATTATATTCCTTTTTTAAAAGGAATGAAATACTGCTACAACACGGACGAACTTAAAAAACATTATGTTAAGTGAAAGAAGCCAGATATAAAGGTAACATATTGTATGATTCCATTTATCTAAAATGTCTAGAATAGGCAAATCCATAAAAACAGAAAGTGGTTGTCAAGAACCAGGAATGGGGGTGGGGCAATAATAATAAATGACTACTAATAAGTAGGGTTTTGGGCAGAAGGAGTGATGAAATGTTTTAAATTTATATGATGGTGATCCTTGTATATCTGTGTGAATATACTAAAAATCATTGAATTGTATACTCTAAAAAGGTGAATTTCATGTTGTGTGAATTATATCTTTATAAAATTGTAATTTAATTTTTTTTAAATTTCAAAATTGAATTGAAAATACCAATTTGAACTTATGGGCCCTTTGAAGAACTCCCTTAAAAAGAGACTTATATTACCAATTAAGAGATACGAGTTTAAATGACTTTAAACCTAAAAATAAAAATACTAAAAGATTTTTCGTATTAGGTTCCCTTACAGTTATACTATTATCTTAAAATAGAGAAAATGTGAAAATTTGCCTATGCTTCATTACAGTGTCCTTCTTTTAACTCCTTTCCAAAGAGACAAATATATGACCAACCCCCACAAGCCATCTAGTGCAAATCTCTGAATACCACGATAAAGCATCTCAATTGCATGTTTCTGAGCTTTCAAGGTTAAAATCAACAAGAGTTCCATGACTCCTTTGACACTAGAAGTCAGAATGCCCTGATATGAATACATACTTCTGTGCCAGTGAAAAGTGTGCTTATTAACAGAACATTGGATTACAACCTTGGTGTTCACATTTTTCCACTAGAAATAGGAAATCCCCTAAGCCTTGGTATCTGTTAAGATGAACTACGCCGCTGGCCTCGTTGAGCTGTGTGTGATTCAGTTGCAGATGCCCAATACGCACAAATCTAAGATGAACTTTGCACAGACCCCTTGTTACTAAGCCACGTCTATGCCAACCTTGCCAGCCACTGAAAGTCTGAAGCAGGTGCTGCTAAATTCTCCCTATCACCAGCCTCACACTACCAGAATTGGCAAATAACTTAAAAAGTCTTCAAGTATGTTAGGTCAAAGATAAACTGGTTAAAAATCTCTAATTTTTCTCAAAGTCAGAACTCAGAAAAATAAAGACTTCTCGGACTGTGACTCCTTCCATAATCCAATTTTCATGGCAATTCTACCAAATGAGGGAAATTTTTAAAAACAGAAAAGGTAAAGCATTGGACCACAAAGAGTTTGAATGGACCATGAGACTTTAGACAACTAGCATCAACAAGTATATGACTCAGTTTCCTTTTCTATGAAAACATGCTGGACTTTCGGGCAGGAGTTACCAAACCTGGCCATGTGTTAGAATTACTGGGAAGGCTTTATAAAAAAGAAGATTCCCAATTCTCAACTCCAGAAGTGTTATTCAGAAGGTATTTAATAAAAGGTCCCCCAGCAGATTCTATGATCAGCAAGGTTTAGGGCATAACTGTTACAGTCTCTTCAAGCTCTCAAATTATGATTCTGGAATGCCGTCCAATATAGTAGCCACTAGCCATGTCTCAAATGCTCAGTAGCCGCCTTTATTGAACAATACAGATATAGAACACTTTCATCATCACAGGAGGTTCTATTAGACAGCACTATTTTAGAAATCAAGTAAAGACTTCCATAAGTGCACATCAATTCATCTCTCGTCTTCCCTTGATCTGATTTTATTTTACCATTTCTTCAAAAAGTACTGCTGTCTTCTGGTCTTCAAATGTGTTAGCCCATGAGAAAAACAGCCTAAGATCAAGCATAACTTTCTGTTGTTTCTCTGAAGAAACTAAGAAGAAAACACTCTTGAGTCTTCTGCATGCATCTTTTCCCTCCCTCTTGCCACATACAAACAAACATCATAAACATAAAAAATTCAGACGAGACTCCTAGTGTCCCACGGTGCCAGAGCAGTGCTGAGCAGAAAAATCCTAGTCTCCGAGCTCTGCCTCTAATCCTGGATTTTTCAACAGAAGTACTATGGACATTTTGGATGGGATAGTTTTCTCCTGTGCACTGTAGGATGTTAAGGAGCATCCCTGGCATGTACCCACTAGATGCTGGTAGTATTCACCCTCCAGTTGAGATAATCAAAAATATCTCAGACATGGCCAATTATTCATTCCTTAAGGGGACAAAATCCCCTTCCCTCATCTCATGAACTAACTACACCTTTAATCCTATCTCCTTCATCTGAATCCTCTCCTCACCCTCTCTTCCTCCCCAGCCTCTGTTACAGAAAAGAATTTATAGTAGGTAAATCACATTAATAAGCAAAACCAAACAAGTAAACAAAAATTTCCAAAACTTCAAAATTTATATCTCCTCTTTGATGCAAAAATGTGTGGGTAAATTAAGCAAATTCCACTAGATTTCCCCACTTTGGCCCCTTTTATAAGATAAAGAAATGTAAGCATCAAAATGTAAGTATCATGAGAAAAGCAAGTTTCTCATGATAAGATCTCCAGAAGGAGATCAAGGGTTTGGTCTGAAGCTTATTCATCTTGGGCTTCTCTTTAAGAAATATAAAATTACACATATAATATTGGATAGAAAAATGAATATCTAGAAGGGGAAATCAAAATCCATCATAAAATTTTTGAGTGGACAAATACTGTGGCAAACACACCCTCAGGTGACCCTCAATGAGTCATGCTGTTATATGATGCCCTCCCCTTGGATGCAGAGGAACCTGTGACTGGCTTCTAACCAACAGAATATGACAATGGGCATGAGGTTACCCCATGATTACATTTCCTTTTATAAGAATCTGTCTTAGCTAACCAGAGACCTTCCTGCTGGCCTTGAAGAAGCAAGTGGCCATGGTATAAAATACCTATGGGAAGGGTCTGGTAGCAGGGACTTATGGCCACTTCTAGGAGCTGCCAGCAACTAGAGAGCTTGGAGGAGGACCCGCGCCTCAGGTGAGCTCTTAGTCTCAGCTGACACCGACTGCAGCCTTGTGAGACCCTGAGCACAGCAGCTCAGCGTCTCAGCTAAGCCAAGCCAGATTCCTGACACCTGGAAACTGTAGGTAAAAAATATACGTTGTTTTAAGCTGCTGAATTTGTGATAATTTGTTACACAGCAATAGAGAACACAAATACTGCTTACATTACAAAATCCAGCAAAATAACATATTTTTATTAATTAATTGCCTGGCATACCTCCAGAATACCATCCTACTTTTTGTTTGTTTGCTGTATATTCTTTGATTATCTTGTCATATGCCAGTGATTTTGAAATATTTCCTACAAAGAATAAAAAAAATTTAGTCTTTCCTCTAGCCTAGTTGATCCAAATTTTTATTTTATTGATAGTTTAGTTTTTTCAGCTTCATAACTACTTGACATTACTAGAAATGGAAGTTGTAGGACTACTGTAAAGTTTAGGGTACCTCTCTTGAGCTTCCCTGTAAGATCTGAAAGCCTTTCCAGACTAGTCTGTAGATTCCTATGTTTCAACCCTTGTTTCTCCTCCACTGCCCACACATTCAGTGCCAGGTGCCATAGGACAAGTTCATACCAAGATACGCCCTAGCGCTGCACCTCATATCACAGTGCCAGGTGAGTCAGCACAGTGGGCTGTAGGAGTATTTCTGGAAGCTATTCCTGCACTAGGACGGCTAGTAATAACAACCGCAGCCCAAAAGTGACTTCAAACCACATAAATACATACCACTAACCTCCAACTAAACATATCCTTAATTCGACTTCCCTCAGCTAGATTCTAAAAGTGCCATGGCCACTCCGACACTATCCAAAATCAGAGGAAGCTGGACAGATGGAAAGTCTAATGAAAAGGGAGAATGATCTTAACCAATTATTGTTCCGATAGCTTTGTTTCACAAATTTTGTAAAGCACATGACCATGTAAAATGTGATGCAAGTGAGAGGCCCTGCCGTTTAAGCTCTAATCTGAATACCCTGCTTGTAGTACCAGCAATGGTCATCAAGAAGAGACATTCATTGCCACAGGAATCCAATACCGTCACACTGGACTCAGCACTAGTTACAGTATCCACATTAAGTGATGGACATTTCAGGCAAAGATGGTGCAAGCTGTCCCTTGCTGCAAGGCAGAACCTGAAGTCTACCACTTGAGAAAGGATGAAATCTTATGACGATTTACCTCTCCCTTTCAACAGCTCCCAAAATAGACCCTCGCAAAGCTATGTATCAGACCCATTCTTTAGAAATATCTGTGCAAAGGTCCCTCCCCCTTCTCTTGTACCTGTCAAAAAGACAGCTCAAAGTATAACAATGGAAATAATGCAAGCAGGGGCCCCTCACATTCCTGCCAGAGTTGAAATTACTTACCAAAAGTCAGCAATCCTGATCTCACGCTGGTGAGACCCCTGATAAAGCTACTCGGAAACCTCCTTAACATGAATTTGCCCCACGATCTTCTATGTGCAAGGAGGAGTGGGCACGTGAACACCGCTGAAGGAGGGACACTGCTACAGCAGACTCGGGACGAAGGCGCCTGTGCCTGGCGTGTCTTACCTCATCATACATGAACTGAAGTGTCAAGGCCGACTTGCCAACCCCTCCACTGCCAACCATGATCACTTTATGAAGGGCCAAGGAGCTCTGGCTTTTACTCTTGTTTGCAGCCATCCTGCTGGTTTTCTGTGGTTGCGACACACGGACAGAATACCCAGTTGAAGAGCTGCCAGTGAGAAAGACAAAAACTTAAGACATTTGATTTCCACCCAACTGAAATCAAATGAAATCCTTATGCTCCAGAAAAGCCTAACCCAGACATTCCAACGGAGAGTAGTAACTCCTCTAGGCTCTGGGCAGAGATAAAGCCCACCAGCAACTCTGGAAGTCATTTACCACAGCAGAACCGGAGCAAAGGCAAGCCAAGAGAGAAGAAATAGGCATGGGCACCCAACACTGGTATCATGGGGACGGTGGGGAAACGACCAGCCACTAAAGATCAATACATCCTCAACACTGCTTCACTGAGGTAAGGTGACCAAAGAGCTTGAGCCCAGATTCCTACCCCTGCCCAGAGTCAACTGGGGCCACACAGAACACCAGGACTCCCTCTGTACTCTCAGTCCACCCCTCCTTCACCCAGTGCCACTCCCTCCCAACACATATCCACTCACACAGCCCTCCATGGGGACTAGGGGGTGATCTGAAAAGGGATAAGTGCTTGGAATTTTTATAACGAGCAACCCCGCTTCATGACACACGATAGAGGTAAAAGGAAAACTAAATAATTTACTTCAAGTACATGTAAAATGATGAACTGAGTTCAACTTTTCCAAAATAACAATCTTATTAGTCAAAATCCATTTAACCTCATCAGAGTGAGATAAAATGAGTAGAGCACCCCTGGAATTATGGGAAGATAAGGTATTTTGAATAAGTAAATTTAACAGATACTACCTGGAACTTATTCTAATCCAAATGCCAATTTTTATTTTAAATAATTTGAATGGAAAAAGCTCCCTATTTCACATATAGCACAGAGGAAGGAAAAAGAACATGGGCCTGACTCTGGCTCAGTCATTTGTGAGCTGTGTGACCTAGAACTAGTTATTCAGTTTCTCTAAGCCAGTTTTCTCATCTGCAAAAACTAGTAAACCACCACATACCCTGCAGGATTTTTCTGAGCATTAAAATGAGATAACACATGTGAAAGACGTAAGCACAGTGACTAGTACACAGTAGGAACTTAATAACGGTTGGTTTCCTTCATATCTAATTTTAAGAGGATTTTTTTTTCTAATTACAACACGATGAGCTCCTATTTCCATTACTTCTGACAGAGTAACTTGAAAATACCTCCACTAGAAAAATAAATACACACAACACACACACAGACAGACATCACTGGGTAACATAAAACATCTTTTTAAATCAGTGGTTCCCATCCTTGACTGCACAATGGGATCACCTGGGACCTCTGGATCCCACCCCAGAGCTTCAAAGGAGATCGATCTGAGATCCAGCCTGGGCATAGGGATATCTAAAAGCTTCCCAGGTGGGTAAAGTAGACCTGCAAGGTGGAGAACTTCTCTTAAATGCACAGCCAAGCTCAAAAGAAAAGTAAGAAATCCCTGTGTTGGGGAGGGAAAAAAAAATCAAAGCAGTAAGGGCTGACATTTCTGCAGTCCTGGATGGCTGCTATTCTTGGTAATTTAGAATTTAATAAACACACAAGGCTAGCCTAGCATAACAGCCCTTTGCCAGGTGGGAGTTAGTAGAACTGAGACCCCCTCTTAATTCAGACTTGAGAAGCCAAGGCCCTTGAAGGAGCACATTTTCAGGTAAAAAAGGAACTAGAGAAACAGCTCCCACCAACAGGGGAAGATGACAAGGAAGCTGGTCTGCCAGAGTCCTGGCCTTCTTTAAGTGTACTCTGAAAATCTGTAACCAAAGCATTCCTCCAAAGTCGAGAAATTAACATAAAAAGTAATCCCCGGCTGGGCTGGGCTGGGCTGCTCACAGTGCGGGAATGAGAGGCAGGCTGCTGCTAAACAACCTCTCTGAAGGGACAACATGCAGTTAAGACAGCTTAGGATTCTCACAGCTAAAGCCTACAAACAGGAGCCCAGTGTTCCAACCTATGGCACTCACAAGTCAGCATACAGGACTTTTCAGACAGCTCTTATAAAAAGTATTAGCTGATCTTATTTATTTATTTGTTTGTTTGTTTGTTTTAGGCAAGGCAACCCTTGGTTGACCTCACAGATTGCAAGGACCTTGTCAGCTTACAATCCTTTATTTTTTTATTTTTTACGCCTACAGCACCTGGTCCTCCTAGGTGGTCTCCCATCCAAGTACTAACCAGGCCCGACCCCACTTAGCTTCCGACATCAGATGGGATCGGGCTTGTTCAGGGTGGCATGGCCGTAGACATCTGATCATTTTTAACAAAAATAAATATGTGAGAAAAATTAATTATCGAATGACCAGGAGTTGAACCAGAAGCACCCTGAAATATCTAAAATATTTTTTAAAGTATTTAAAATGAAAAGTAATAAAAAATGTAGGTAAAGGAAAACAAACCCATCTTAGTTCATTGGCAGAGGCTCTAAAAATTAGACTTGCAAAAGACAGATTAAAGAGAAGGGAAAAGAGAAAAACAGAAGTTTATTACGCACAGGAGAACGCAGTGATGAGTTATCAAAGGGGGTGGCTAGAACCTGGGCTTACACAGCATCTTAACAAAAGAACAAATTTCGTGGAGAAATGACAAGGCAGAGGAAAGTGACTTTGCACCTCTAATGGTGACAAATTGTGGAATGGTAAATATATGGGGGAAACTAATGGAAAGGATAGGCTAGTGAGTCACGTTTGTCAGGTAGATTCCTCCGGTGCCTACTCTGCGCACATCAGAGTCTAGAGTTGTCTCCGGTGAGTAAGAGGTTATTATGCTGAGCGAAATAAGTCAGACAGAGAAAGATAAATACCACATGATGTCACTTATATGCGGAATCTAAGAAACAAAAAGAACAAACTAATGGTAAACAGACTCACAAATATAGAGGACAATCTGGTTATGGCCAGAGGGAAGGGGAGTTGGGGGGCTGGGAGAAAGAAGTGAAAGGTTAAAGAAGTACAAATTAGTAGTTGGTCACGGGGATGGGGAGCATGAGGGAATGCAGTCAGCATTAATATGATGGCTAGGTGGAGAGCCAGGTGGGTGACAGAGTAATTGGAGTGATTGTTTCATAATCTATATAAATGTCTAACCAATGTACTGTATACTTGAAACTAATAATAAAATAAAATGCTAAAAAAAAGAAAAAGAATCATCCTGCCCGTCCTGGTAGAGAGGGGACGGCAGAGAGTTTTCATCTACTACCTTCTCAATTGCCTTCAGGTCAAAATAATCCTTACATCAAAGTGGCAGACTTTGGGGTGGCATATACTGAACCTCTTCAATTGCCAGTAGAAAATTTACAAAATACACTAAACTATCTTTTAAAAAAATCACCTATAATCCTGCGACCGACAGACATTCACTATTAATAGTGTATTTCCTGCCAATATTTTAATCTACATATTCCTATATTTAAAAGCTATTCAAGATCATGTTTATGTAGTCCTACATGTTATTTTTCAAGTATTATATCTATCCATCTTATTAAACAGAGCAGACTGAACACAATTAAACCTCTTCTTGATGATTTAAGGATCAACATCACCTTGAAAATCAGTTATGTGATAGGCCTTGGGCTTCTTGTGAGTGGCAAGCATGTCTGCCCGCTCTTTCCCCTTTCATTGGACCATCAGTTTACTTGCCTATACCATGCCTTCTTCCTGGTCTCCTTTTTCTAATTATGTGCGTTTTAATAAGTGTTCTAAGCAATTAACTAGATAATTAAGCACATGTGAATTGTGACTAAACTAGAATAAATGCGATAAGGAGCAGCCCTCCCTAAAAGGCTTCAATTTAGGAAGGTGAAACTGCTTTTGGCCTAATTTCTGGTTCCAGAGAGCTGAGTTGGTGAATGAGGTTGGAATCTTCAGGCCATCAAGCTCTCATTCAATTTCTCTGAAGTAACCTTGCTTCTAAGAATTATTATAGTTGCATGAAAATGGAGAAATAGTTTTCCAGGTTCGGAGGGTGCACTTTCAAACACATGTAATTCTGAGCTGTTATTTTCAAAAAACGAAGTCAATTTTTCTAGAAGAAACCATAATAAACAAACTGTAGACAATTCAACAAATTCAGATACTTGCCAAAACGTCTGTGCTGAAAGCTTGAAAACTGAAATAACCATAGTGGATCTTTCCAATCCACAGAACTGCTTCAGTCAACTTGACATGATGAGGACAAAGACAGGAGAAAGGCAGAAGTGCCAGCCAAGTGCCTGTCACTGAACCAATCCTGGAAACTGTAAAGGCCACACTCCAGATTCCTCTTATTGGAGATAATAATAAACGCCTATTTGTTTAAACCACTGTTAGTCTATTTATTGTTGTTGTTGTTGTTTTCACTTGTACTGAAAGCAGTCCAGAAACTGTCTTTGCACTCAAGAAACTCAAAGTCTAGTGGTTCAGACAGATTAGTAAATGATTACAGTACAGGATAATCCTACGGCAGAATTATGCAAGGGGTACGTAGGGAACACAGAGGAAAGACATCTAAATCAGACTGAGAGGTCAGGGGAATTTTAAAGGAGCAACATAAGAGCTGAGATTTGAAAGAGTTGACTAGATAGAGAGGAGGAGAAATACCAGGAAGAAAAAAAATCAATAAGGCTTAGGAAATTCATGTTGATGATTTAATGTTTATAATACATATGCCTAGCCGATAAATGTGTTCTTAAAAATAGTACAAGTATCTTTCCCCCCAACATTTTACTATGAAGTTTCAAACTTTCAGAAAAGTTGAAGGAACTGCAGAGTAGATCCATACGCCCACCACCTCGATTCTACAATTCACATTTTGATCCATTTGCTTTATCGCATACCCAGTCATCTGGCATGCATCTACCTACCCATCAATCCCTTTTAATCTCTGATGCGTTTCCATGGAAGCTGCAGACATCAATATACTCCATCCCTAACTTCAGTGTAGACATCCATTTTTTCCCCAAAGCAATTATGCTTCCCCCACTGCCTGCGCTAACAATTTCAGAACTATCTCTAAGGGGCTTGCAAATCTCCTAATCTCTTTAATCAACTATTTGGGGCCATAGC